TAACAAGATTTTAAGCTCGATAGATCTCGCTCTATTCTATAAGCTCTATTATCTCGCTCGATATAGACCCTAACAGTTGAAAGGTTTTGTTGAAGGACGATTATGCACAATTTTCACACCAAATCTGGAGCAGCTGCAAAAATGGCAACTATAGAGACCCTCTGTTGTTTCGATTCCCGCTATAGAGGGCCTATATATAGTTAAACTGTCTTTACCAGTGTAGGTAGTACCAATGTAGAAATGCTGTGCTGAGTGGTTATATTACTACCTTAAAAAATAAGCAGAAACTCGACGAGCTTAACTCTTGACGAAGGGCCTTCGCTCGAAACGTCGAGTTTCTGCTTATTTTTTAAGGTAGTAATATAACCACTCAGCACAGCATTCCTACATATATATAGTTGCACTTTTCGCAGCTGCTCTTGGCTATATTAGCTCTGAAAAATGTATATATAATCTTCCGCTTGCTATTATGTTAGTCTGGCCTTTAAAATACTTCGAATGTAAAATATAATTTTTTTTTGCCAACCTTATAGGAATAACTATATTACCATTACGATATTGTGACGTGGCATATGCAGCGTCACTCATGCATATAGCCGCGCAGGCAACGAGAACTGCATGGCGAATTTCAACAATGCCAAAAACTTTTGTCATCTTTATCTTAACATCTTTAACAAACATAGGTTGCCCAGTCAAGCCGCTGGGCTGCCTATATGATCAGACAAAAACTGCATGCATGCATGCTTACCGCTCATTAAAATCTTGTCTTCGAATGTCGCTCGAAACGCTCCATCAGGCGCCTAAATAGTAAAACATTAGAAATTCATTGATAAAAATCGACTTGTCCCGGCTTTGGTAATTTCAGGGCATATTTGACCGAACTATAAAATTGTACACTCTTTACTTACTTTGATAGCCTTTTTCACTTGACCTCTTATGCCACTGACAGTTCGAACGTTTGCACCCTCAAACTTGGCTACTTCTAATGACGAATTGAACATTCCCTATATAAAAGTAAGACACGGAATAGGTTGGCCACGATTTAAATACTCTAATTTGTACAATCAATCGATATTGCAGAATGTCCTCGTATGTAGTTGTAAGTGCCACGAAGTTCAAGTTCTATGCACTTGGCAAGGTTGAGGCCAAGGGTGGGGGAGGAAATGGGAGGGTCCATGCCCCACACTTTTCGCAAAGACTACTTCTTCTAAACCCCAGGAGATAGTGTTGGGGCTAATTCTTCAGGCGCACATAAACACTCTAAAAACTTTAAGACTTGTCAATTGAAAATGCAATAGTTTTAGACGGCACGAGTAAAACACGGTAGTTGTTAACACCCATCCAATCAGTTTATGCCAAAGTAAATGCCAGTAGTTGTATTCATGTAGATGTACTGTTACTGTCGTTCCAATTGAAGTGTTCCTCAAATATTGATTCAATACATTACCTCGGGCTGACCAATTCATTTGATCAAGTTCCTCCAAATATTCATACACTTCCTAGTATACTTGTAAACTTCCTGTTGAATAGTTTGAATGCACCAATCACCTTTGTTGTTTGTGAAACTAACCAATCATAAATAGAAAGGAAGTGACCAGAAATGATCAAATTCTTGGAATTGGCGTTTTCACAGGAAGTGTATGAATATCTTGAGGAACTTGATGAAATGAATTGGTCAGCCCGAGGTAACGTATTGAATCAATATTTGAGGAACACTTCAATTGGAACGACAGTAATTGTTTATCCCCCCCGCCAGTCCCTGCCTGCACTGTATGTATAAATTGTTTATGTTAATAACGTTTTAATGGTATTTGTATCTTTGTGTGTTTTACAAATGTACTTATTATAAACTAGAAATAAAATATCACACATCCACCTTGATAAATGCGGTGTTCTTGTAGATTTTCAGAGGAGACCCTGTCAGTTTTAATTTCTTTACTATGTCCACAGATTTATCCAAATCCAGAATCACTCCCGTCGCAGCAATGCGAAAATGTGCCTGAAATAAAGAAATTTAGTCATTTAATGAATACCTATTTATGTGAACTTTGTTTCCGCGTACAAACATTTAAACTCCATCGTTTTTTATTGCGAATTATGTTTTATTGAAACAAGAGGGCTCAAGAGACTCCCGCAACACGACATTAAAATCCAGGAGTAATGCCGATGTTCCCCAGCAAATTTTTTGAAACGATATTTCTAAATCTTGAAAATGAATAGTACGGTTGGGCGATATTTCGATATTATCGTGATATTTTCACCCATGGATTAGGCATTGTATTTAAATTCTTGTAGGGTTTTCAATTTCAAATGTTGCAGTAAGTTGTTGAAAAAGTGAAAGTTTACATTGCCGCCATTTCTCCTGTCTCGTTTCCAGGCTCTACTCTTTTTTGTTCATTGCACTGCACGATCAGAAATCGCGGTCACAAATAGACAGCTAAGATGAGCTAGCTCATCTTAACTGAACATGCGTAAAATGTACATGCTGACGTGTACTGAATATTAATGAAGAAACACGCGCGCAATGATTTTCTCGTCTGGTAAGCGGACAAGTGCGAAGAGAGAGTTTTACAAATCGAGACTAAAGTAATGATTTCCTGACAAAACATATATTTTACTAGCCCACGGCACTGGGTTTGCCGCCCAAAAATATATTTTTCTCCAGCCAGTCCACTTGTCAAGTAAAGCGATTTTCATTGACTAAATATAATCAGTTGTAATTTCATATTTTTGGCAATCGTTGCGACTATGCGAATTTCGGAATATACTGCAGTTTAAAAACTAGAAAAATAGATACGCGGAGCGTACATGTTGCAAGCCATTCGAGTATATGAGCATAGTTGATAGAGCAGATAAGGCGTGATAAAGCAACGCTGTGACTAGCCTGGGAGGACGATACAACCCAGTCAACCTAGTCATATTTCGATGAACTCTTTTGGCTGTTTACAGGTGTAGTACAAATGCTCTCTTCTCGCTGTTTACCGTGCGTATTGCGCGTTGTGCCTATACCGAGAATATGTATTGATCTATGTAAATAACATGAGTTCTATTATAGTAAATAATACAGAAAAGAATTGATGGAAAACAATTAAAGCAAGTGTTTCGACTGGTCTCTCTCTCGCTCCGCCTCTCTGCGCTACGTCATGTAATGTACACTATAGTGGATCGATATGACAATGAAAGTGAGACTTGGAGCAAGTCTAACGTGTCACAAGCACTATCTGCTTGTCTATTCTTGTCTCATTGGTCCGCTTTTTGTCAAGGGAGAAAAACTCGTACCACAAGCACAGAGTATTATTATTGTGTGACCAAGCACGTGACAAAACGTAAACATAGATCTGAATCAGTGTCGCATGCATATGCCTGATAAAATTCATTGTTTACATATTTTTTATATTTACGGACTTTACGCAATACGGCTTGTGCACGACTTTTACTTTGTTATGTAACTAGCCGTAATATTACTATAAGTGAAGTTACTATATCAGTTCTGCTCATAACAAATGGGCCCACAGATATAAACATTGCCCAAATTTTGCATCTTTCGAACTTTTTGAATTGAAACGTACTCTATAGTTTATATTCATTTACAATTGCGAACCAGAAAAGGTGTTAGATATTCAGTTAGTATGTCTTATTTTACAAATATTGCAGTTCAAAATGTAAACAAATCCTTTGCTCACATTACGGACTTGACATGGTCTTGACTCTTGATAAATAAACTATAAACTGCCAATTTAAACATCAATTTAAAAGAATTATAATTTAATATACTCACGGTATAAACGTGCATGAAATAAAAATAGCACACGTTAATTGAAAAGCCGTTTTATACTAGCACAGCACTTGATACAGTAGCGCAAGTAGTATAAAGTCCCTGAGACTGTTATACACTTCTAAATACAGAGAGAGTATTGTGGTATAGTGAGTAGTGTAGAATTGATCTTAGTCCGTGTATGACGGAAACGTACGTATAGTCGCTGGTCAGTCCATATGTTCGAACTATACTTATTTTCGGAAATTTTTTTTATGAAATACTACAATAATATATTGATTTACACACACATATATATATATATATATATGGTCGACACGAAATCGTAACTGCACGTAAAAGTGGACAGGACAGGACAGATTTTAAGTATATGATAGTTGCAAGCCATATAATGGCTTGCAACAAAAACTATATAGAAAGCCATTTTAACGGTATATTAGTAAAAACGTGACTTCAAAAAGAAATGGATAGTGCCTAGAAACATGCAATAAAAATCTCTTTAATTGGATTTAAATCTGTTTACAGACGTCGGTATACAAATAAACATAAACTTACGGCAACATCTGTCACGGACTGGACAGCCAATACACCAGTACCTGGAGGCACAATGGGTCCTTAAAAATAAACACTTATTGGATTTTTGCAAGCAGGGCATTTATTGGATGTCAAAATAAATTTACTGGGGGGAAAGGGGTGCAGGGTGTGTGTGTGTATGTGCCCACCCCCTTAGCCTTGGCAAGGGAAGGGGGTGCGCAAAGGGGGCGCCAATTTCATTATCAAATTTGGACAGGCAATATCCGGTAACCATTACCACATGCAATAATGCCCCTGAACCCATCCTAGGAAAATATTTCGCCCATTCAATAGAACACTGCTGCGCGTGGTTCCAAATTACTAGCGACCATAAGCATGTAGGACGGGAAGGCGACGACAAAGAAAATCGTTGAACCAAATGATTGCAGAAGAAATCTTGTCGTCTATTATCAATTGTATGGAAAATAATACGGTTTAAAGATTGAGGTTAACACAACTGTGGTTAATGATTGAGAAAAGTTCTAGGACTCAATTGAAAGTAGCAGTTGTCCCAACTTGAAATCCAAGCGTTGTATACAAGACGCGATAATCTGCATTTTGCCGATATAACAGAGCGACAACTTCCGCGGGATTTTAATTGTTCATTTCTGCTCGTGTTCTTGTCCCGAGCCAACGGCGCGGAAAGGAAAGCATTAGCGAAGTCTAAAGTTCATCAATGATCGCGGGCGTGGGTCACCCGGTGTTTCGGTGGGTGGTCATCCTCACTGATCTCATAATATAGCGGACTGTCATGAATAGCCAACACTGATTGGTCCAATATAAAATTTGCATTATGACTGCATGACGACAGCGAAATGGCAAACATTTCTTGATTTGATGATTTCTTGCAAATATATTTCATTTTTGCAAGATTTTGTAAATTTCAAAAGCTTTTTGATAAAATGAAAGCGAAAGAATTGTTAAAAGAAAGGAGTAAAAGCGCCGACGTTAACGAAGGTAAGTTTGTTTTAAATATTGATGTATTGTTCGCTTTATAATTGCTTTAAAATAATAATAATATAATAATACAAATTATTTATATTAAAAGCAAATCGTTGCGTATATTTTAAATAATACGAATCGTTGCGTATATTTTAAATAATTTCAGTGTATCTTTATTGATTATCATTTTTTTATTGTATTAAATTTTTTAAATAAAAAAAAGCAAAGTTATTTGAATGCGAGAATTTGAAATCATTTTATTTCAAATTCAAAGTTTATCTATATAAGGCAGTTTAGTTTTATATTAATTAAAGATGCGGTACAGTCCGATCTGCGCATGTGCACAAAAGAGCCCTCTTTTTATTTACAAACAGTTTATTTAGTTTTTTATTTCATTTTATGTTCTTGCAAAGCTTGATTGTTGTGTCTTGATAATTTATTATACTCTATAATCATGAAAATATAAATAGTTGTCGAATAGAATTCAATATTTTGGACACCGAAATGTAAAAAAGCCTTTGTTTACATACGGACTGTACCGCATCTTTAAAGGAACACTTTAAAACGTTTTGCCTTATTGTTGTTCAATTTTACCTTAATTTGAAGCTTATAATGCGTATAATAACATACCTAACATATATATGTTTGGGAAATTGATAATTTTGTAATTAAAAGTGATATTTTTTTTTAATTTTTGATTTGCATTGTCGTGTTACCATGACAACTACTCGGAAAATACAATGGTTTTGTTAGCAAGGCGAGGGTTTCTGTATGCATGTATTTTCTAGTATTAGTATATCATTATTCGTTCTCGTTACACATTCGTCAGGCCTGCTGACGTTCTTAATAATAGGAGTTAATTTAATTTAATTTAATAAAGTTTACTGCATACAAGAAATAATAAATATAAAAATATATACGCAGAAGAAAGAACAGAAAGGAATTAAAAGAACCATACAAAGCTGTTCCACCAGAAACAAAAGACACGATCAAAAGTTACTACACACTGTAGTATACTAATGTACTTAATGTTCTTAATTTCTTATGCTTCCCAAGAAACACGAGGTCGACCGGATCACATGGTATACTTTTGTAGAACTCTCTACACGAAGTGTTTATAATTTTAAAAGTGTAAAATTTAAGGTTGTTTCTTGTCACGTCCCTGTACTAGATCAAGCCTTTCTTATGTTCGCTATTATGAACTTGCCTAACGGTTGGATCTCAAACCATGGCCGTGAGTCGATGCGTAGCCCCCTAGTAAGTAGATCTGGTTGGATCCATCCTCATGCATGTAATCATGTAGTTTTCGTTTAAATAACGTCACATTTGCTTAATACATGCTCTCACATACCGTAAGCACTGGCAACACAATGTAAATGTTCTGGTGTGTACTTGAGTGATCTATAGCGACCATTGTGATCTTGAGTGGAATACATCGTGACAGTCTGAAATCTGCGCCATCCGATTGACATAATGAGAGGATCTCGAGTTTTCAAGATACGCTTGTACCAACGATGTTTCTTAAGACGAACCTAAAAAACAACGAAGATGAAGACAAATTATCACCTGAACGAAGTGTACTAGCATGGGTGATAAAAAGTCTCCTCTGTAGTCTGCAACGCTCCTATCCCACCATTACCATTTTTTAAGATGGCCAAATCTTCATGTTCGCCGTTCTGTTACGTTTTACATTATCTTTTGTTTATAAAGTTTTATATGCCGGTTTTTATCACGACTGTATTACTGGATAGTTGCTGTAATGTAGTACAGTAAATGTGCTTGTTCAAGTACAGTGTATTTGAAAATATAGCTGTAAAGCGTCCTCGACATGTTTAAATATTTTATTATATACATGACAAAATTACTGCAATCTGATTTATAGTAACGACACGCGCTAACAATACAAGTTCCGGTAATCGCTATTCGAAAAGAAGAAAATGTATGGTCAAGCAGATTTTTTAGTCAGGCCTTAAAATATCGGTCGGTCACGGACATTGTCCGACCCATTCGTGAAATTGTCCGACGTAGAGAGGAAACCACCGGACATTCTGTCCGACCAAAATAAAACTGAGGTTTTATTATTATTATTATTCATCTTATTTAATAACGGTAGCCCTTCAGATTAAACTACTTTTCAAGGGACCGTTAGAATATTTACAAATATGAAAAATCTATTGTACATACTAACTATGTAAAAAAGAAAGCCCGTGCAGTGAACACTATATATAAATTAGAATGACTCACATATATAACTAGAAATAGTATGTTATGTTAACCCTCCCAGACCCAAAAATTACTCCTTCGAATCAAAATCAGCCCCACAAGTGGTTGTCATATACTATTCCTCTCCAAATTGGTGAAATAGTTGTTGATTAAAGTTTTGAAGTTACTTATGGAGAGCACTTTGTAGTTGTTGGTAACATCATTTGGAAGATTGTTCCATGATGTAGCACCTCGATATGAAAACGAATTCTTCAAGAAGTCTGTTTTAGGTTTTTCCAAATAAAGTTTACAGTTATTACTTCTTAATGGGTACATATCATTTAGGCAAATTTTAAAGAAGTTGGTCATACATTCTGGCAGTTGTCCTTGTAAGGCCTTAAATGTCATTATCATTTCTCTTTTCTTAAGAGTGGTTTCAATTGGTTCCCAGTGTAAGATATTAAATATATCTTTCGATCTTACTTCGTAAGTTGACCCTGTGATAATTCTAGCCGTTCGTTTTTGCATTTTTAAAAGCTTGTCTGTATGTGTACGACTGCCGTCATTCCACACGTTGGAGCAATAGGTAAAGTGAGGTAAGACTAGTGAGTTGTACATGTTAATTAAGACGTTTTGGTTAACAAATCGTTTGGCTCGTCTTAATAAGGCGATGCTCTTGGATAGTTTTTTTGCATTGAAGATCATTGTGTTTATGCCATCTCAGTTCATCGTCTAACGTAATTCCCAGTACTTTTTTTATTGGTTACCTGTTTGATGTTATGATTACCAATCAGTATACATGGGTCATATGAGAATTGTTTCAATTTTCGTTTAGAGGCTATTAGCATAAATTCAGTTTTTTTACGTTTAAAGTAAGCTTGTTTTCTATTAACCAGTTATTGACGTTATACAAGTCATTGTTTAGTTTCACTTCTATGTCCGCAGGTGAATTACCAATGCTTGATATATTTGTGTCATCTGCAAACATAGATGCCTCTGTTTGTTCGAGACAGTTAGGAAGATCGTTTATATACAATGAGAATAATAACGGTCCTAAGTTTGATCCCTGTTGGACTCCGCATCTTATCTTTTTCAGTTGGGAATTTATACCTTGGACTGTACATAATTGACTCCTATTGGTTAAGTATGATTTGAAGAAGTTAAGGGCTACACCTTGAACTCCATATAGTTCGTGTTTAGCAAGAAGGATTTTGTGGTCGACTGTATCGAATGCCTTTTTGAGATCAAGAAACAAGACACCATTTATTAAGCCTCTATCCATATTCATTAAATATTCATTGGTTGTTTGCAAGAGAGCAGTTTCAGTAGAGTGATATTTACGGAAGCCAGATTGGCGTTTTGTGATTATTTTGTTGTTCATTCGATTCATTTGAGAAGCCATATAAACAACTCGAGCTCGTGTCTCACCGGGATATCCAAACACTCGAAAACAACGCATGAAAACAATTGCGCTTCGCGCTCGTGTTTTCATACATTGTTTTCTCGTGTTTGGATATCCCGGTAAAACACGCGCTCTCGTTGTTCATATATTACGTAACAACGCTATAAGGTCAGCCCCGATCATTCAAAATACACACGGGTTAATGAAGCAATATTTGTTCATCAACTTACTCTGATATAGCCAATGTTATCTTCGTTGGAGAGAAGTCCACCAAGAACGACAGGATACGTTGGATTGAAATTATTTATGAATTCACATGGGATTTTCTCAACCTGTCAACGATAACATTACGTTTTCATATACACCGCATATCAACTTAAAGTGCCTATGCAAGAATTTTTTATGATTGAATTGCAAATGTCATTTAAAATCATAATGTAACTTTGTTATCTTTCCTGTATGTCAAGATATTGGACTTTGTTTGGCATGCAAATATGACTTAAATGACGTCACATTGCATAATGTATTTTATAGAAGACTGTTTTTTCTTGCTTGATAAAATTGTTATCAACTCAAATTTGCAGACGAAATGATAGCTTTGATAGTTCTTAAAGTGCATAACTTTCAATGTGAGTGGAATTATCACATGTTTGACAAGGAAACGTTTTCTTTCTAAAAACTCATTATGCAGTGTGACGTCATTTAAGTCACATGTGCATGCCAAACAAAGTCCAATATTTGATATACAGGTAATATAACAAAGTTTTAGAAATACGTTTGGCTACTAAC